CTTTCCTGCTATAGAGTCCCAGGTGCTAATAGGAGTAGATGTGTGATTGCTGCTCATGAGAACCTAGAAGTTAGATACGACAGTAAATATGACCAGTTGGCATTCTGGATAGATAGACTGAGAATGGCTACATTTGCCCACAGGCACCTTTCATGGCCCTTTCTTCCCCGCAGATCCTCTGTCCTGCTCAGCCTCTGCACGACGGAAGTTCCTTTCTCGCAGACCGTCCTGGAATAGTTCTGAAACCGAGGAGCCGCCGTGGTCCCCCATTCTGCCCCAGAAGGAGATCCGGTCTCCACACCGTGTTTCCTGGGTGGAAGGGATCTCTGCTGACGCTCTTCCATGCTGGCCCCTGCAAAAGGCCCATTCAGAATCATTGCTGCTGAATGACTCCATGCTGCTGCCTCTTATTCCTGAACTGGATTCGCTCTCTGTCAGCAGCGTGGAGGATGAGGGAGAAGGGCTTCCTCCTGCCACCCCCTCTTCACAGAAGAGACCGCGCTCCTCCTCCTCCACCTTCACCCACAAAGTGCTTTACCGTCTCTCGGCCATGAGCAATGCCCTCACTGGCTTCCTCTCGCTCGAGCGCCGGGTCTCCAAGCGGGTGCAAGAGCTGGCCCAGGAGTCTACATCTGTGGTGGGAGGTCTCGTACATAACTTTGTGGGGCACATTCTGCGAGGTGCTGGGACACGGCACCCCACCAGCACTGAGATGCTGCAGGAAATACGGCAGATGATCAGCAACCTGAAGGGCTACCTATGCGAGAGCTCTGATCTGCACACGGCCTATAGTGAATACGGTGAAGCTGAGGAAATAGACCTAGGTATGGAATGGGGTCTTCTGAGGGTTTGGAGAGGGTCTGAAAATGATCCATTTTGGGTGGCGGTGATTGCTACATAACAGAGATGCCTGTTATGGGCAGGATTCGGCCATTTTTGGCCTATATATATTCAGTGGGTCATCTCCTTTTCCTCCCTTGTGGAGAACCCCCTGCCCTGATGGGATATATATTCACAGCTCCTCTTAAGTCTTAAGTTCAGATCCAGCTCAGCTGAGAATAATTTTTACTGACTCTGAGATGGGTTTGTTTTGGGCTTATTCTTTGTAGCATTTTGTCGCAGCCTTGAAATGGAACCTTGCTTTTGTGGAAGACGGGATGTTTCTGCCTTCTGTCTCTTTCTTTACAGAAAGTTTGGTTCAGGGTGATTTTTCCCAATCTGGTGCCTTCTGGCTTTGTTGGAACAGAGGTCCCATAGTTCCCAGAAAGCATAACTATTGGGCATGCTGTCTAGAAAATCTGCCATTGGATTCCAAGTCCTTTGAAAGCCACTAAAGCAAGGGAACCCAGTGCTAAGCAACTATACCATACATGCCAAGCAAATAATGAATGACACATGGGGGAGGGGGGTTTGTCACAAATATTGTAGTTTTTACTGGGGTGTTCCTGAGACAAATGGGCTTGAATGGGAAAGTATTTGCATTTCTGCTCAAACAGAAAGTGGTGGCTGATGCCCTTTCCCCTGTTTGTGCTCAGCACCTGGGCTCCCAAGATAAACTCTTCTTGGATACCAAGGATCTTTTTAGCAGCTGATGACTGGAATCCAGCCCCACATCCTTCTTCCTCCTGATGGGTTTCTACAGAATTGCAGTCA